AGCTATGCTTTTGCTATAGAAAATAGTCTTTAAGTCAAAAAAAGAAACAAAATCATTGTATAGTGATATAGGCATAATTCAGCAAGAAGAAATAACAATTCTAAATATATATATACATATATATACTCAAGGTTGGAGTATCCAAATATATGAAGCAAATATTAGGAAATTGAAGGGCAAATAGAGTCCAAAATAATAATAGTAAGAAAGCTTTAACTTCATACAGTCAGGAACAGACAGACAGAAAAACAACAAAGAAAAAGAGTCAGCCAGGCATAGTGGTTCACACCTGTGACTCCAGCACTGAGGAAGGAGGATGAGGTAGGAGGGTTGTCATGAGTTTGAGGTCAGTCTGAGCTACATAGTGAATTCAAGCCCAGCCTAAAATACATAATGAGACCCTGTCTCAAAATAAAACAAAAAACACACGAACAAAGCACAGTCAAGTTGCACCCTAGAGCAAATGGACCTAACAGACATCTACAGAACATGTTATCCAAGCCTACAGAAAATGCATTCTTCTTATCAGAACGAGACATTCTCCAGGATAGAGCATATGACAGCTGAAAAACCAGTCTAAAAAAATCTTAAAGAAATGCATCATCACAAATCTCTATAGAGCATGTGACAGCCAAAAAACAAGTCTCAACAAATTTGAAAGAAATGCATCATCCGGAATCTCTTTTCTGACAATAGAGCAATAAAACTAGAAATCAAAAGTGAAATATTGTAGAATAGAAATAAACTGATTCTTAATGACCAATAAAGGAAGAAATTGAGAAGGAAATTAAAGATTTCTCCAAGTAAATAAAAACAGATACACAGCATGCCTAAACCTAGGGATACAGCAAAAGATTACTGAAGAAAATTTACAGCACTCAACATCTACATTTTTTAAAAAGCAGAAAGATCTCGATCTACTGCTGCATCTCAAGGGACTTGAAAAACAAGAGCAAAGCAAACTCAAAATTAGAAGGAAAGAAATAATGAAGATCATAGCAGAAATAAATGAGAGCAACAACAAAAAATACAAAACACCAGTGAAACAAAAAGCTTGTTTTTGAAAAGATAAACAAAATGAACAAATTGTTAGCTAGGCTATGGGGAAGAAGACTCAAGAAAATGACAGATGAAAAGGGGGATATGATAACTGACACTACAGAAATACAAAGGATCATTAATGACTATTATGAACAAATGTATACCAATAAAGTTGACAGCTTAGATAAAATGGACAAGTTCTTGGATACATACACCCTACCGAAACTGAAGAAATAGAAAAATGGATCAGATCATTAACAAGTAATGATACTGAATCAGAACTCAAAAAGTTTCCCATCAAAGAAAACCCCAGACCTGATGCTTCCACTGCTGAAGTCTATCAAAGATTTAAAGATGAAGTGACACTAATTCTTAAATCACTCCTAAAAATGGAAGAGGCCAATATCCTTCCCAGCTCAATCTATGAGGCCGGTATTAGCCCAATGCCAAAACCATACAAGGACACAACAAATAAAGAAAGCTGGAGGCCAATATTTTTGATGAACATAAATGCAAAATTACTGAGTGCAACGCTAGCCAACTGTATACAATAGCACATTAAAAGATTGTTCTCCGTGATGAAGTGGGATTCACCCAGGGATACAAGGATGTTTCAACATATCCAAATAAAAACATGTGGCATTCCACATCAACAAAATGAGGGACAAATACCACATGATCATCTCAATAAATACTGAAAAGAGATCTGATAAAATTCAACACCCCACACCTCTCTTGCAACAAGGAAGTTGTCCAAAGCAGCAAGGGTAAGAGGTGAGAAGGAAGGGAAGAAGAAATAAAAAGGATAAAGATATGCCATGTACAGGAACCTAATAACCCCAATTGATATAAACACTGTAAGCCATAATATGAGCTAAGACTAATAATATCAACAAGTATTAAAAAAGGGTTAGAGAATAAGGGAACCAGAAGAGGAAGGGTTAGGGAAGGGGAAAGAGATTTTTTAAAAAGGAAACAAGCTGTAATATGTACACGTATTCACTCCAAGATATAAACTGCATGAACTGTAAACATGTACGAATAAAATATAAATTTAGGGCCAGGGATTTAGCTCAGTGGTGCCGCCACCTGTCTCTCAAGCACAAGGTCCTGAGTTCAATCCCCGGTACCATAATTAATTAATTAATTAATTAGAATAAAAAATAAATTTTAAAAATTCAACACCCCTTCATGATAAAATGGTAAACAAATTAGATAGAGAAGAAATGTACCTAAACATAATAAGGGCTATTTATGACAAGCCAACCACTAACATTATACCAAGTAGAAAAAAGCTCAAGGCCTTCACTCTCAGATCTAGAACCAGACAAAGAAGGCCAAGTCCATTCAATATAATACTGAGAGCCATAGCCACAGCAAGTACGAAAGAGAAAGAAATGAAGGGCATCCAGTGACGAGAGAGGGAGACCTGTGGTCACTGTATGTATATGACATCATAATACATATACAAAATCCAAAAGATTCCACCAAAAATTCTTAAAACTAATAATCAAATTTAGCAAAGTTTCAGGATACAAACATTAACATACAAAAATCAGTAACATTGCTGTCTATCAATACTTAATTATCTGAAACAGAAATTAAGAAAATAATTACATGTATAATAGCTGCAAAGAAAACAAAATGCCTAAGAATAAATTCAACCAAAAAGGTGACATCTCTACAAGGAAAACTATAAAACACTGACAAAAGGAATTGAAGGGGACACAAAAATACATGGAAAGACATGTTGTTTTCATGTATTGCAAGACTCAATATTCTTAAAATAGCTGTACTACCCAAATCAATCTACAGATGCAATGCAATCTTATCAAAATCCCAATACATTCTCCACAGAACTAGAAAAAAAATCCTAAAATTTGAATGGAACCAGAAAAAAAAGTACAAATAGTCAAAGACATCTTGAGCAAAAAGAATGGTGAACCATTATATTACTTGAATCCATAATATGCTACAAATCAGTCATTATCAAAACAGCATAGTACTGGCATACAAACAGAATCATACCCCAACAGAACAGAACAGAGTCTAGACGTAAACCTACCTACACAACTATAACCAAATAATCTTCCAAAAATGTTCTAGGAACAATGCACTGGAGAAAGTATTGCCCCTTCAGTAAATGGTGCTGAGGAAACTGAGTATCCATGTACAGGAGAGTGAAAGGAGACCCCTATCTATTACAAAAATTCACCTCTAAGTGGACAAAAGACTTAAATGTAAGAATTTAAACTATGAAATTACTAGAAGAAAACATAGGGGAAAATGTTTGGGACAAGAGAAGGGTAAGGATTTTTTAGAAAAAACTCCAAAAGTACAGGAAACAAAAGTAAAAGCAGACCAACAACTCTACATAAAACCAAAAAGCTTCTGCAAAGCAATGAACCAATCATCAAAGTAAAGAGACATCCTATAGGGTAAAAGAAAATGTGTGAACTATACATCTAACCAAGGGTTACTAATCACAATATACAAGGGACTAAAAAAAATGGAATGTGAAAAGCAACCCAAATAAAAAGTGGGCAATGGGCATAAACAGAAATGTCTCAAAAGAAGGCATACAAAAGCCCACTATGTATTTTTTTTTTGTACCGGATATCGAACTCGAGACATGTGCTTGTGAGGCAGGTGGCAGAAGCACTGAGCTAAATCCCCGGCACCTACTGTGTATTTTTAAAAAATGCTCATCATAATTAATCATCAAGGACATGCAAATAAAGCCCAAAATAAGATAGCACATCACCCCAGTAAGAATGGCTATTGTCAAAAAAGACCAAAGATAACAAGGCTGCTGAGGGTGCAGAAAATAATTGTAGCATACCATTGGTTGAAATGTAAATTATTATAGCTGACAAAGAGTATAGACATTCCTCAAAAAAATTTAAAACCATTACATGATCCAGCAATCCCACTGCTAGGTATGCATTGAAAAGAAATGAAATCACCATGGCCAAGAATGCACCATCTGCATCCCTATGTTCACTGCAACACTACTCAAAATAGCCAAGAGACTGAAGCAAACAAAGTGTCCATCAACTGATGAAAGGATTAAGAAAATAAGGAAAATATACACAATGGAATACTATTTGAACATAAAAAAAAAATGTAACCGTCATTTGCAGCAACACAGATGGAACTGGAGATCATTACATTAAGTGAAATAAGCCAGGCACTTAGCAAAGTAGAAAATGATCTCACTCATAGGTGAAATCAAGTCAGTTGATTTCACAGAATCTGAAAGTAGAATAGTGACTACCAGAGACTGGGGAGAGTAGGAGAGAGAGAAGGAGAGAAGTGCGGTTGATCAATCAGTGTTAAGTTACAGTTAGATGGGAGTAAGGGACACTTGTGGGGGCTTTACAGCAGGGAGACTATAAATAAGAAATGCTAAGCATGCAAAGATAGTGTTTATTTTAAAAAGCTACAAGAAAAAATTTTGAATGTTTTCACCATAAAGAAATGACATTTAAAGCAATAAATATGTTTAACCTGATTTCAACATTACACAATGTGTACATGCATCAAAACGCTACATGATACTCAAATACTATGCATAATTTTTATGATTTTATATATCAGTTTAAAAATAAATTTAACAAATAAATAATAAGTATTAAAAAATGGAAATGTCAGTTTACATATTTAAAAGAATTTAGCCATATATACCCTTCATTTCTATGAATACATCTCTGCCTTGTGGAACAGAAAAGGATATACTATACAGTAGTTGAAGGAGAGAAGCACATTTTAGAAAGGTCAAGTACATATACACATGGCTAATAAAGTGCCTTCTAAGCCTTAGGGGCTATGAGTCATAGAGAACAGTCATTCATTTTAGGGGAGTGGAAAGACTGAGGATGAAAAACAATACCATCACAAGAAAACAAGAAAAACAGCAGAAATCAGGGAAAGAATTGGATTCTCTTTCAAAAACCTACCGTTCCATCCCCACCACAGGCCAGAATTCTCAGGTTTGGTACTTTCCTATACAACTCAAGTCTGTAGAAGAAATAGGAGACAAAATAAACAAGAAAATATATTATTGCCTGTGGCCGAGAGATAACACAGGACAAAATGAGTGAAGTGGAATCCACTGGAGAAAAGACACAATAGTGAGGCTAATGATACCATGAAAACAAGTACCCAAGGGAGGACTGACTAACAAGTGGATTAGACCCAGGCAGAAAACTTTAATTTTAAATGGTTGATGATGGAATGATTTGGTGACATCTGAGAGTTTAATTTCTCATTTTTCCCATTATTGTGTCAATACATTTATTTTTCTTTTTACTTTGTTTTTATTTCCCTTCTTTTTCTTTTCCCATTTCCCCCTCTCCTTTCTTAAAGAAAATCATCTTTAATTAGTAATTAATAGTCCTCTTTATATCTTAGTCCTCCTCTTTATAACTTATTAGCTTTTCCTGGATCTATTTTTCAAACCTATACTTCCCACTCTTAATTCCAAGACTTTTTTTAAAAAGAAAGATGGACAGGATTCCCCGCTCTCATTATTACTACCACACCCAGAAGTCACCTTCACAGTCTTGCTTACACTGCCAGTCAAAAGTGGGAAGATTCTGTGTTTTCTTTTTTTTCTTTATCATTTTATTGGTACATTTTAGGTATACAATATAATGACATTCATCATTGGAGATATGCACCTTTACATACTCTCTTGGTTCTTATTTTTTCCCCATTCCCCTGCCCTCCCTTCTACTCCTCCAGCCTCCCTATTTACAAGGATTTTGTTTCCATTTTTTCATTTTCTCATATTAATTCCATTGCCTTCTTTCCTTTCTCCTACCGCTCCTTCTTTCCCTCTGTGTTTTCTTTTTAATTTTGAATTTGTCTACTTGTGGTTTATCATTTAATCTTTCTTCTTGGCTTTCAAGAAGATGCAGGAATGTTGCTCTTAATCTTTTACTTACGTGGAGCTGTTAATGGCTCTACTCTAAAAAAAGTTGTTAATTTAAATCTAATAACATTTCTCTGAAAATATTTCCTGGCCCACTATGCACTCTATGGTGACCTATGAAACATCTAACATCTCACTTAAGTGATGAAATCTTTGAAAAAGTTAACATTCAATAGGGCATAAGCCAGGACAGCAGGTTAACCTTAACACAAGAAAAAAATATAGAAGTTTTACAACAAACTCTGTGGCAAAAAAATTCATAGACTATGAGAACCATAGTAAATTAAACTTTCATAATTCATGTTCTTCTGTATGCTTGAAATCTATAATTCTTCATTTTATGCAGGAACACTATTTCTGAAGAAGCCACCTCCAAATTAACATTTCTTTGTCTCTGATATTGCTACTTAGCAAAAAAATAAATAAAAATAACAGGTATCCCTTATATTCTGTTTATCAAATAACATCAGAGCCACCTAAGTAGGTGGATTTAGTATAGAGATAGAGAACAGTGAAAAATGTCCTTGCTCTTCCCCACTATGTAAGGCCACCTCCATCTAGACTTAATTTTCAAAACATCTAACATAATCAGAGAACGGGATTTCTGAGAAGCTCAGAAGGACGGAGCAGGAATGAAAATGCCTCTCCCACACTAATGTGGAGTACAATAAATTAATCAATATTTCTCTCTTTCTCTCTCTCATGCATACACATACACACATGCACACACACAAATGTTCATAAATGAACATGGCTGTGGTGCTTCCCAGAGTTAGACCTACATTCCCTTCGACATTCACCTCCACAGTGGTATGTGTGCTAATAAAAAATAAAGTCTTTCTGAAGTTACAGACTCGAGGTGCATAATCTACAGGTGCACATACACAAATAGCAAACACACTACAGGTGCTCACTGAGTCAATAATTGAAAAGATAAATGTGGAAGCAAATTAATCCAATGGCCAATAAGAGGGAACATCAGATCACGTTTTAAAGGAAAGAAATTACATATCAGAGAGGAAATAAGAGATAGTCACAAAATATTTCACAAGATAATCTGATAATGGAGCTTGATCCCAAATCAGAAAGTTCTCACTTGCCTAAAAACATGTGGACTATATACGGAATTTCCAGACTTACGCATCTTTTGGCCCTTCCTGAGAAAGATCAAAGACTTGTCGTGGATTCAGGTACCACATGAACATCTGAAGGACTTTGGTTCCCTGTAAAGGAAAAATTTGACAATAATAGGAGAAATTTCCCAATATTAAAAAGTAAAACTAAATCATTTACTGTAACACAGTAGTTACAAATGATATATAAAAGTAGTTAAAATCAAGAATTAAAATCATTTTGTCTTGGCTTTACGTAGGTTGAATGTCCAGGTGGGATATTTGTGTAACCATGTAACTCTGGACAAGTTTCTCAATTTCATTAAATTCAGTATCCTTCTTTTTATTATGGAGATAAGATGCCTAGTTCACAAACATGATGTAGAGATTAAAAGTAATAATGTTTGAGGAGCACATTATAATGTTTGACATACAATATATGCTTCATGAATAGCATTTATTGATGGATTAATTTTTACCATCATTACTTAATGTATGAAAATCCATGTGGGGAAATTATTAACCTATGCACTTTAACATTAATTTTTAACTTATTGTGCAGATCATTATTGTCCCTGCCTAATATGATACATGTGCAGTATTGGCTAAGTATGATTTTGTTAAAATAATTTTTCTAACTGAAGCAAAAGTATAACTAGAGTATATAGATTTTTTTTATATTAAAGTTTTACAAGTTATATAAAATTTACCTACTTAGTAACATAAGAGTTTACTTTGACATTTTTCAGTCTCCATGTCTATGTAAGTTTAAAGCAAACCTTTCTGTCTCACATAAGCATGTTTCTGGAGTGTTTTAAGGTAACCATGACATTTATAGAGATGGACATGATGACAAACTTGATCATTCCTTAAAATATATAGAACAAAAAGAAATTATTGAAGGATCTTTTCATTAATCAGCACCAATAAAGCTTTAAAATTGAGTAAAATGCCTCAGTTTTATCAACTACGCCAAATAATATGTGATCAATTAGGCAGAATTTGTTCCTTAAAATATTATTCCTTTAGTAGATATCATGATTGCTTTTCCCGCAAGTGTTTCTGTTTGTATTGCTAACATGCTGTACTTAAAGGCCATTCCAGTATAGTAGAAATAGCTTGAGTTCTGAGTCAGGACTAACTTGGGTGTTCTAACTGGGTAATCATGAGCACTTATCATCTTGCAGAAATGCAGTCCATAAACCAGGAAGGGTGCCTACCTTCCAGGGTGATTATGTGAAGTAAATGAATCAGCAATAGTTACATATCCAGCACAGTATGTTGCACTAAGTAGGCCTTTGTAAATGTTAGTCCTTTTTCTCTCTCTTTTTTTAATCTATTCATTAAATTACACTTGATGGTGTGAGGGCTAAAGTGTAATTCGTGATTATCACATTGTGATGCCAGCTGTTACAGAGGCCAACGCAAGTCTTTTGTTCCAAATCTCATCCAGACCTGTAATTTAAAAGTTCTGCCATATCATGTGCTTGTTTAATTTTAGGAATAGCATTCCATCCTTAATTATTACAACTAATCCTTCAGTTTCACCAAGCGACACATTTTGCTTTCTATCATATACAAACATAGATTTAGAGACATAATACTAACTAAATACTGGGTCATTTTCTTTCTTCACATGCTGGGCCTTGCTATCAACTGTGTTCAGGATTATTTCAATCTTTTTTTTTTGTTAAGTTGCTAACATAAGAATCATGTTAATGACCAACCAGTTTATAGAACATTTTCAACTGACTTGCTAGAAAATTAATTTTTTAGTTTTAGATTCCTGGAGCAGTGTGAACTGTTGATGTTAATTATGCCTTTCACCTTTGCTGTGGTACAGTGCACATTTCAATTTCAGCATCTCCTATTTTCCATACAATATGAGGTAATTAACACTTTTCAAAAAACAAAAATCAATGCAGGGTTATTTTTCTTAAAATGTCTCTAAAAGATATGAGTAGCTGCACAGTTTTGGTTTTGCCCGTTTTCAGTTGGCGTTAGTTGGAACACCTAATGATCTCAGTGCATCCTGTCAGAAAGGGTCCCATGCACGCACCACTGCAGGCTGCTGGGATGCCGCCCCTAGACTCATGCCTCAATAACCTGTGCAGCCATGCAGGGCTACCCTGCCACAGCTAACATTAAGGCAGGGAAGAATTACTTCTTTTAAAAAGTAATTTTCTTTTGAAAATGTTATTCATTGGGAAAAATAAGTGGTTGAATGAAAGCATTTTTTAAATGATCAATTCTACCAGGTGGAGAAAAAAAGGTCTAACTCAAACATTTAAGCGAGCTTCATTAAATTCTCTGAGACTTTGAGGATAAGCTACTTTATAGCTTTAATTGAGGTAATTTATTAAACAGAACTGAATGGTCTGACAGGTGCTAATTCACTGGGAAGAGTAATTTGCTTCTTTCTCAATGGCAGGATTAAAACCACTCATTTACACAACTGTCACTACCAAGTCTCAAGCACTCTCTATGTTGTCATATACTATGTATCAAACATCAAAGCTGTAAATTTTGTGCTTTTTTTTTTTGAAATAAGGTCTTGCTGGGTAGCTCAGGCTGGCCTCTAACTCATGGCAATCTTCCCACCTCAACCTCCTGAGTGCTACCACACCTGGTTCAAAAGCTACAGCTTTGATATAAGAGTCTGATTGCCTCTAAATTGAAAAAAAAAAACTTACATGTAAGTTTCAACACATTCTATATATACCTCCCTGCCCGTGAAGCTTTTTAAAATATTATGCAATTGGACATTCTTAAAGAGTGAAAAAATATTCTTTCCAGCTCTGGCTGGCTATTGGAGATGGGGTGCTACTGGTAAATGCAATTCCCCCAAAGAGCCAGATTGTTATGGAGGGAAGTGAACAAGATCCATTCATTCTCCTACTGTATGCCTGGTGGTTTTAAGAGAGGTGATTGGAGAAATGAACCAGACAGAGATCATCGTCCTCTTAGAAGGAAGTTCTATGAGTCATTCATAAAGGAAAATATGAGAATAGACACTGGGATCATGGAGAAGCAAAGAAGAACAGGTCAGCTCAAACCATACATTGATCTTTATCAAAGCCCTCCTGGACCATTTTCCTATACCACTAAGTTCATGTGTAAGCATTACTTAGATCATGGAAGATCTGCCCAGACATGAAGAAAGCTTGAGGAAAATAAAAGCTAGTGGGGAAAAAAGCTTAAGTAATTATTTTATAAGGCTACACACAATGACAAAACAACCCATCATGTATTTATTCATTAATGATGTTTTAGGTTCCAACTTGGTGTCCATACATTTAGGGTCTCAGAACTAGGGACCAATAGCAAATTAACTAATTCACTGAAGATAGAAAATGCTATGGCAGAGATGCCTAGTGAGAGGCTTGTGTGTGCCCTGAGGACATATTGTCTAAGCACAAGTTTGGAGAGGAGAACAAGGCACACTTGGAATAATACCTGCATTGTGTCTTTTTTTTTTTTTTTCAGTACTAGGTGTTGAACCCAGGTTCTCCTCATCTAAGCTACATTGCCAGTACTTTTTAAATTTTTATTTTAAGACAGGATCTTGCTAAATCAATAATTTTCCCACACTGGGCTAGAATTTGTGATCCTCCTGCCTCAGTTTCCCAGAGTGTTGGAATGATAGACATGCATCACCACGCTTACTGCCTGCCTTGTATCTTAAAGATAAGTAGAGTTGAACGTCTTTCTCCACAGGGAGTAGAGGAAGAAATTCCAGAGCAAAGGCACAAGGTACATGAAAGTGTGAAAGTGTGATGAATTGTTAGCCAGAGAGTGTGTGGGACACAGCAGCAGAAGTGAGCTGTAGATGAAAACATCTATGCTGTACAACTTACGCTTTATTTTCTAGGAAACAAAATGTCACTGAAATGTTTTAATCAGGAGACTCAGACTGACTTTTTCTTTTTTCTTTTTTTCCTGTGCAGGGGATTGAACCCAATGTCTCCTGTCTGCTAAGCAGGCACTCTATCACTAAGCTACATCCTCAGCCTTTTTATTTTTTAATTTTGAAACAGGTCTCTCACTAACTTGCCCAGGATGGGCTGAAACTCCCAATTCTCCTGCCTCTGCCTCCTAAGTAGCTGGCATTACAGGCATGAAGCGCTGCACTTGGCTCAGATTGACCTTTTTGTGCACCACTATCCCAGATATAAGGGTCCCAGACCTATAAAAGGAAGTAGAAGGTTTGGTTTGTGTCTTAGCTGCCTCCAAGCTCCCACCAATACTATAATTTATTAAAAAAACAACTATACAGCACAAAATCGTGATTTGGTTGTTTTAATCTCATCTGTTGAACCTAATTTAACCAGAGAGTCTTGAGATTGGATTTTGTCATGTGCTTTCATCTGGTTACTGCTCCTTTGTCCTTTTTTCAGCCTACTCTAAAAATGAGAAGCCTAAAATTTTATCTAAATAACGGTCATTTTATCTATCCCCAGTTGAAAAATCTCCAGCATTGCAGGAAATAACTTCTCCATTGCATTTGTTTGTTCAACATTAAAAACAGTTTGAGGTCTCAAATTTCTCATTTGAAGTTATCTACATTTTATCTGCCCCTTCTCCCCATGTGGTGTGACTGACTCCTCCTTAGGAGCCTGACTCTGAGGAAGCCTGCTTACAGATCGCAGGTGGTGTGAGCCCTGCCAGTACAAGTCAGTGCCCTGGGTGGACACCCCCACCTCCAGGATGCCCCGCTGATCAGAACTGGGGTACTTGGATCCAGGGACCTACCTCACACTGACCCTGTGTCCCAGAGCTCCACACTGCACAGCAACAGGAGCCAGGACCCAGCTAGTGATCCTAACATCTGCTTATCCCTCCATCCATCATCCAAGTCATCTGGAAGATGAAGGCTGAGAGAACAGGAGAGAGGGACTATGCAAAGCAGGGAAACAGAGCAATCAGAAGAGTCTCCTGACTCAGAAAGATGCTAGTGGGTTAGGAGCACCAAAAGAAATAGTTATGAAACGAAAGCAGACAGAAGCATGAGGGGCGGTATTTCTCCAGTCATTGAAAGTCTGCATACAGTGAAGGAAGTTGGTTTGGGATAAACAATGTCTTCCACCTATGACCTCTTCTCCGCAGGGGTTGTTCAAAGCTGATATTTTAGTCCCTGATGCTAATGTTCATTTCCTCAAATAATCAGATCCCAGCAACAGCAGCACTATCAGTGGCTCAACCTCTACAAAACACCAGTGTCATCTCTACTGTGACAGTGCAGGAAAAACAGAGATAATTACTGGGAAGTTTAAAGAAAGGATTATAAAGAACACATTTTATTTATTTATTTATTTATTTATTTATTTATTTATTTATTTGGTACCGGGGATCAAACTGAGGACCTTGAACTTGAAAGGCAGGCGCAGTGCCACTGAGCTAAATCCTTGGACTCAAGAACATATTTTTTAAAGAAAGACATAGTAGTTTGTCTCAATACATTCCTTTGTAAAGTTGAAAATTTTCCTTAACACACTTAAAATAGTGTAGTAGGAGAAAAGCCACAGATTTTTTTTCCTGCCAGTAGATGGCAATATTGTCTATTAATTACTTTGTGGAAGACTAAAGACAAGTTGGGTTTTTTTGTTTGTTTGTTTGTTTTTTGGTACCAGAGATCGAACTCGGGTCCTTGCACTTGCGAGGCAGGCGGCGGAACCACTGAGCTAAATCCCCGGCCCTAAAGACAAGTTTTTTAAGAAGAGTTTGGAAAAAAAAAAGTTGGAAGCCTAAATTTCAGAGAGGGGACTAAATAGAAGTGTTTTATATCTGAAAGCAAATAAGTAGAATAAGTAAATCGTTAAAAGACAAAAATCAGGATTTAAGCCAAAAAATTTTCTTCTCTATTCTCTATTATTACAGGAAGACCTTGCCAATCAGAGAATGGTCTGTCCTCCAAGGAAATAGTAGTACCTGGGAACCTTTAGAAATGCAAGATTCCAGCATGATGGTGATACAGTCAAAATGATGGCGCTGAGGAAGTCACTCCCTTCCACCCACCAAGTTTAAGCAGCACCCTAGGACCACTCCTCCTCCCATTGTCCTAGGAGAGGAAGAGACTCACATAACAAACCTTCAGATAATCACTTATTCTCTAGGCTAGAGTTGTATCTCCTGGCCTGACCTTCAGTCACCTACACTGTACTCCAAATTTATTTAGGGTTCATGAATAGGCACTACATCTCATGCGTGTAATTAAGGTCAGAGGGAATTGTGGCACAGGCTTGCATGTTGAGAGCCTGAGATGACTCAGCTCCCCATCAGTCATTGCTGTCAAGCACACCTAAAGACTCAGGGGAGGCATCTATGTTCAGGTGCATGTTCTTTAAATTCCAAAGCCTAATTATCTGGAGGCTACTGCTGTGCGCTATGTTCTGTGTGCAGTACTTTTGCCTTTCTGTCACCCCAGAACCACTTTTCTGTTTGTGTTGTATTTCTGTCAGCACAGACTTGCTCTGAGTACAACCTCCTGTGATCTTCAATAAAAGTAGCTGCTTTCCACTTGCCATAGAGTGTGCTTGCAGGTCATTGCTGATCATACACAAGAGCCTGCATTACACTTGCTGAATCCATTCCATGGCAACAATGATACATACTAACCTGTGCAACTTAGGAACTTAGGGAGATTGTCTCAAAAAATAATAATAATAAATGGACTGGGGATATAGCTCAGTGAGAAGGCCTTGAGTTCAATCCCCGATACCACAAAAAAGGAAGAAAAGAGAAAGGAAGCAAAAGAAGGAAAGAGAAAGAGAGAGAAAGACCGACTGTGAGAGATTCTAACCCGGAGACTTAAAGTCACCTTGACTTACTGAGGCAGAATCTCCACTTTTTTTTTTGGTACCAGGGATCAAACTCGGGACCTTACACTTGCAAGGCAGGTGGCAGAACCACTGAGCCAAATCCCCAGCCTTTAGAATCTCCATTTTAATGGAATCCATAAGAACAATTTTTTCACATTAAATTTAATAATTTTACTTTTCTGTTCAAAAACCAAAAAAATATAAAATGTAAAATATTTTAAGCAGCAAAAAACCTAAATTGCATTGCATAAATCCAGAATCCTTTGCCAAGTTTTTAAGAGACTTTTCTATAGGATGATTCTAATCTTCACTTAATTACATTGTCAATAACTTCCATATGGATCTTCTACTCACCACATCATCTTTGAAATGACTTTTTTACATCTGTACTTCTATTTACATTGATTATTGTACAATTATTTAATTTGTGCCAAAGATTCAAAAGTATAGTCCCTGGTATTATGAAATTGATATCTTGACAGTACAGAAACAGAGAGTACTTTTGTTGCAGTTCACATAGTATAAGTGTGTCCCAAGGAATATTGGAGTATAGGGATAAGGGTGATTTGTTTTGAGGAGTGGTTCAGAAAGGCACTATTGATCTAGAAGGATGAGCAGAAATATTCCACCACAGAGAGAAGGAGAAGGGTTAGAGTTATGGTTTGGGTTAAGGTTAGGATGAAGGTTAGTGTTTGGATTAAGATTAGAGTTTGGGTCAGGATTAGGGTTAGGGTTAGGGTTAGTGTTAGGGTTAGGCTATGATTAGGGTTAAGGTCCAGTCTTCCCTCCCACATGTAACTTAGTAGTGTCCTTCTTACTTTCAGCCACTTCCATGCCACAATTTCTTTGTCACTGAAAGTCACAGCTTGTGTTTGAAACTGGAGGGCACTTGCAGTCTGATCCAGTCAATTTAGAATTCATACACAGTGAATGTCATTTGAATGATGTTTCACCATTTGCTTTTTGTTTGCCTGACAAACACAATGTTCTTACAAAATTCACTTAAGCTTCCTTAACCTGTCTTCTATTTAGTGAAATAGAAAGCAACATTAGATATCTCTGAAGTCCTTGTCATTAATAATTTACAGAGACTGGAATAGGAGCTAACTAGATCTTAACTGGATTGTTAACTCCCTGAAGGTAAAGATAATTTACAAGCTTCTGTGTGCCTTAAGAAAAAAGCTTAGAATGATTTAATAAGTGCATTTGTACTGCCATGATAAAATAAGTTTGACACTAATTAGAATGCAGTGCTCAGGTGCCCAAAGTCAGAGCCAATTACATTCACTCTGCTCTCTTCTATGGTTTGCAACCGTATCCCTAAGTCTTGATAGGCTATAAGGAGACCAGTCCAGGAGTGGGGATTGTTTACGGCAAATTGAACCTCACTCCTAAGAAACCCACTCCTAGATCCTCTTCTGTTGATAGTTGTAGAACCACCATCATTACAATAATGAAGACCATTATTTGGCAACTCAGAACTGCAGGATATTAAAAATAAATAGTTTGCAAAAATTTTCTTTCCTTATTCTCTAAAGTGCTGATACTTATTTTTAACCTAGCGAGTTATGAATTTTGAAGAAAGAGAAGAAAAAGGGAATATTTCCTTAAAATCATACGCTCTTTTAAAAGGAGTTTTGTTGTAATTAATACATTCTGTAATATGTCCATTATCTTTAATAATAATAACATCATTTGGACTATTGGGTCAATCTTCATTCTGCCTCCCTTTATGGAGTAATTGAGAGTTTCAAATCTCCAGCTTTTTATTGTGAAACTTCAAAGAATCTTGACACAAAATGTAAAATGTACACTTAATGGACAAAGAATCTATACATGTATTCTTCCTATATATCCCCAGAGTCACATGAAAATAACAGAAAGCCAAAGCCTCAGAAGAGTACTGATAAGAAGCCTCAGAGTAGGAAGAGAATTGGATGGAGAAACAAAGACCTGGATTCAAGTACAAGTTCTGTTCTTCCAAGACTGTTGTCACTTTAGCCACATCATTAAACTGACTTTGGTAATGTTATCTGTTTATTCTCAAACAAGAAAATATTAACTATACTAAAGGATTGGGGAAGGGACCAAATGAAGTCTTTAGAAACAGATATTTTCTACAGCCTTGGTAGTATTTGTTAATGTTCTCTCCCTTTTATCTGAGGACAAGGACTAAGTTACAGTAAACAGAAGTAAAGATAAGATGGTAAATGGCTTTCTAATGGTAAGAAATGAGAATCTATGAAACATAGTAACTAAGAGAAATTCTGGAATAACCTTTCTTGAATACCTGTTAAGGAAATTGAGGTTTCAGCAGGGAGGCTTCTGGAGGGCCTCTGCTGCAGTTGTTTACAGAGGTAGAGGGATGAATCAAAACCTCTAGGCCTTGCCCAGCCCAATAGAGCAACAGTAACCTTCTCCTGAGAAACTATTTGTCTGCCAATGCTGAGGGTCTTAGTGGTGCTATATTCATTGGTGCTGTGAATTGTGGTTTCAAGAAATCATCAAATGGTTTAAGTTGAACTTGTGACAAATGACTCACCTGGTTGCCTCCACTCTTAGGGTTCACAAATACAAGCAAGGGTTTCATGAGAGGTGAAGAGATGGGCTTTATCACAAAAGGACGGCCTTTGTTTTCCTGCTGGGAGAAACAAGCAGTGCTGTGAGAACACACATCTACAGTGTGAAGGCAACCTCAAAGCAAGGGGCTGAGAATCCACCACTATCACCACCACCCCAAAAACTCTCCATCTTATTTGACAAGATCTACCCTTTAGGGATCATCCACATCTAGGTGGAAAAAGTATCTCAAACTGTCATTTTCCATAGAGAATTCAACCATGCTTTTGAGTTTCCTCTGCATACTTTAAGAATCCTGGAAATGTTAGCTGTCTTGTCTTCACCTTCCTCCTTTTCCTTCTCAGCATCTATCTGATGACATTTCCAGGCAAATGCACATGCTCTGACTCTGAGGTGGCAGAAGGTTAGGTTTGTTTGTTTATGCATTTATTTGAGATAGAAAATATTCCACTACAGTTAGAGTACAGTGAATGAGAAAAGGGAGCAAAGCATGATGGGAAATACAAAATCACACTTGGACCATAAAACTGAGATATTTTCAGTGATAGAAAGGAAGTTGTACTTCCTAGGGTCATAACCTGGAAGCACTTACTTCAGTTCCCCTTTTACTAGCTTTTCTTTTAAAACTTGTTCTCTTCTTCTTCCGATTTGAAGCCTTCAGGGAGTTCTGTAGGGGAAGAAGGAAACATTGAGCTTGGAGGCGACAGCCCAGGTGTGTCCATGCAGAGCCATGTGGAGGGGATGGCAGCACATGCTGTAGACTGCATGCTTCTCATGCTTTGACACTTCCAAGCCACTGCTCATGGGTAAGCCACAGACAGAAACCAGTCGAGTGCTTCAGAGTGAGCAACTGACCCCACCACACGGAGGGCAGGGAGTTAGGGCCCAGAGGCTCTCGTGGACTAACATAACAACACATGTTATACCTGCCAACCCTCCCAGTAAAAATGGAAGAATCCCAAATTCTCTGAGGGGCTCCAGTCTCCCGCCCAACCAGGTCCGTCTCCCGCCCAACCAAGTTCAAGTTCATCTCCTGGTATGGAGATCACCTATGTGGAAATGTAAAAGAGGAGGCCATTTTTCATGTTTTTTTTCTTTTGTTTGCTTACATTTTTTTAATGGTCTTTCCTAGTAATTGCCATAACACGACTCTTGACTGAAGTGGAAAGCCACAATCCAACTATCCTATCAACACTGAGGTCAAGCTCACCTTAAGGGACTTAGAGCAGTGGGTTGGCAATCACTGCTTTGTCTCTCTCCATCTAACGGCCCATTAGTTCAAATCTTCCCTCCCCTAATAACTTTGATTTTTCCTTCTCATAGAGGTCCCTCAAACTTGTCATAAAGTGACCCTTAAATTTATTTTTCCTTTCTAAGAATTTTATGGGCCACAAGCATGTAACTACTACCATTAACCATTTACTCTTAATATTTGACACAGATACTTAGCAAAGAACCTTTTAGAGAACAGTCACAGCTTGCTCGTTGAAGACAAGGCAAAATCAAACTTAATTAGCAGAGTCAAAACTTAATTAGACTGCAGTTTCACAAAGGCACGATATTACTGACCATATTATAGATGTTTGACCAACTGCTGAAAGCCTGAAATGCAGAATTCTTAACTTAGAAACTTACATATATATACATACTTGTTTGAGCAATTAAGTTTTCAAAACAGCTTGAAGAAATTTAAGTATTGCCTTTTCCACTTTTTGAAGTATTTGTTTTCTTAAAGCATTCAAAATAAACTTTAGCTTATATATATTAACACATCAAAGTTAAAACGATTCAAACTACTTAGCATTTATTTTACTTTTATTTTCATTTAGGGAAGAAGGTCAATTTGTGGCCTCTGTTTACCAAGGGTGAGGGAAACTTTCAGAAACCACCATATGCCCCCAAATTTTCCTCCCCAATCAGATTAGAAGAAAGTGTCTAAGGGATCTCAGAGTCTCAGCAGCAAAGATTCAGAAGCTCAAGGATGCTCTAGACGTCTAGCAATTAGTCATACTCACTGTAGAAAACATGTTCCATGAAATCTGATCCCCAGGTTTCTAAATTTCTAGCTAAATGGGTCTCTCATGCTAATGTCTCTTTGGCATTATGAAAGTGTGCATTGTATTTTGATGAATTTCAATTGCGTAAAAGGTGGGAAAAATTATCTAGAGTCTTTAAAAATGTAATCAGCTCCATGTCCCAAGAAGGCTGGAAAATGTTAGGCTGGCAGAATAAGGGGCACTGCAAGTTTTAAAAATGCTCATTCTGGGCACCATCAAAGCGTCTTTTTTAACCTGTTTCAAATGAAGCCCAAGTAAGGATACTTTTTTAAAGCTCTCCAGATGATTCTATTATATAGCCAGGCCTGAGAACTTCTGTTTGAAGCAAAAGAGAGCAAAGTGAGGGGATATCCACACCGTGTTAAAGCAAAAGACAAACAGGAGGGAGTATGAGTCTGGTAGATTTGGTTTGAATCCTGCATCTCCCTGTTACCAGATCTGTGACCTTGGCCAAGTCAGTTAAGCTTTAGAAACCACAGTTTCCTCATTTTAAAATGAACTGATAGTACCTACCTCGCAGGACAGTGGTGAAGTTTAAGGAGAAAAGGTATGTGAAGCAGTGAGCTTGGTATCCATCCCTTGATACACACTTCAATAAAGGTTAGTTGCCTTGTTCACGGCACCTAGCACAAATGTTTGGCACAGGGTAGGCATTCTATCATTGTCACAACAAGGAATAAATATTATATCTTGCAGCACTTACTGAGCCTCTCCTGATCCCCAGAAGGGAACACTTGCCTCCTAACTTCTTTGTAGTTTTAGCTCTTTGGCTGCCCAGAGCAACACAGGATGCCAAGGGCAGGACACCACTTTGGACCTTGCTCTTTGAGAGGACTCAACAGGTAAATTCTGAGAGATAGTTCTATTGGATCAGGCCAAGACCTTAAACAAGCTTTTTAAACTTGTCTGACCCTAAATTCAGAGTATTTCAGGTGACTGTGATGATCAATAGGTTTGTGGAATACAGAGTTAGAAAAAATACATCAAAATAAGCACTGACATCTGAAAACAGGACAGGCAAGGACGTCAACTCTCATAGGGTACAGACACACAAAACACCCCTTTTAACATAGATGTAGCAAATCCAAATGGCTCTCAGCCCTGCCCAGACAAGTGCATCAGAGGCCTTCTTCACAGGACCAGAAGAGGAAAAAACCAAGCTCAGTGGTTGACCTACACTACCTGGGCACAGCTAGTGAGCTCTCAGTTAGCTTACAGCCCCTTCGTGGCCAAACAGCAACAGTAAGAGTTACGGAAGTTCTCAGCTCACCTCGAAATTCCCAAGGCTTCCTTCCATTTATGTGTGAATATTTACTTCTTTCTAAATATATTACTTCTCATAGAAGGTAGCATAATTCAATAAGAGATGGATGTGAAAGCAGATTTGAGATGTGTTTTGGCCATGAAAAGAGAAGTCACCCACTCAGGCTAATTGACAGTATCCTTAATCTGCCTGGGTCAGTACTCCTGAAAAGTTTAGCAAAATAACATGCTTTTCAAGACTATAAAAATGATGTCACGTGAGAAGTTATTGTGAAGATTTGTTGGCCACAGGGGAAAGAAAGCTTTAATACTTGCCCTGTGTTCCTATGTAACAAAGCCTGTCTGTTACATCAAGGGGAGCTAGCTGAATGGCACAAAAGGTTCCCTCTGCAAGATCAACACTATCCAAACAGTGGTTTTTGCATGTTTCTGATTCCACCTGAAGTCATTCCACACACATTCTGTGCCTGCTCTTTCGTTAAGACAGAAAGAGAGAAAGAAAGAAAGAAAGAAAGAAAGAAAGAAAGAAAGGAAGGAAGGAAGGAAGGAAGGAAGGAAGGAAGGAAGGAAGGAAGGAAGAAAGGAGAAAGAAAGAAAGACTTTTTGTTTCCTTGGACCAAGTATCAGGGCAATCTTACTTTGCCACAAAAGTAATCCTATTAAAAAATCCCTGTCCATTCTGACTCCTTCCTGCACTGTGAATGAATCACTCAGTTGTGAATGAGACTTTAGTTCTTATTACTCTTGAGGGATTTTTCCAGGTTATGGGATCACAAATGACTGGTTGTAATAATATCTAAAAAAGAGACATATCACTTCATCATCCCAAAGGAAGTCTTTCCCTACTATAAACTGCACAAAGCTCTGACAGGTCATAGAAGGGAAAGGCATGTCTTTTTCTCTCCAAGAGCATTTTTCCAGTCTCCTCAAACTGCACAACTGGAACAAAGATTATTGTGAGGCAAGAAAAAGAATAAAGAACCACCACTACCCCCCGCAAAAAAGCTCAGGCTTTCAAGAGCCCCAAAGAGGCATATTTGGCTAGATCATAAGAAGTACTAACTGACCTTTAGAATTAAATATAGGAACTGCTGGACCAATTTTGAGAGAGAGTGTCATCTACTGCATAAAATTAGCTATTTCATTTCACAGGTCCCTAGCATTTTAAGATTATCCAATCATAAAGGATTTAAACAGTCACATCTAGGAAGGAATAAATACTGCATTGCTTATAAGAAAGATCTTAGAAACGATATACATATCCATCAGTAGGGAGATGGATACATAAACATAAATACATCCATAGTATGGGTTATATGCAGTAGTTTAAAATGTGGTTTAAGTATCTATGTACTAACATAGACTTTCCTCCAGTTCATCTTACACTAGCCAAGGAAAGTCATAAAGCATTCTGGGTATAATGCTGTTGTGTAGTAAAACTACACACACCTATACTCACAATGATTCTGCATCTTTCCTATGGGTGCATTTCCATGCATGTAAATTCAGATTTAAAAATTCTATTTGGAAATATAAAAGAGGAAATTGAGGACTTGCTTATGATTTTAAATATGAGTGAAAGCAGACTTTTTTATCTGAAAAGTTTATTTTTCTACAGGGAAAATACTTATGTATTCTTCATTAAAAACTAAACAGTAACTGCAAGACTGAGTACTATCATTCTTTCAAAGAAGCCATATACTTTGTGATAGTTCCTGTGTGATCAGGGTTTTGTTCATAAAGTCCTTGCTTATGCCAATGTCTTCAAGAGTTCTACCTATTCTATGTTCCAGCAGATTAAGTGTTTCTGTTTTAATATTTATATCTTTCATCCACTTCGATTTTAGTTTAGTGCATGGTGAAAAATATATGTCCAATTTCAATCTTTGGCATATGGAAAGCCAGTTTTTTCAGCACCATTTATTAAAGGGGCTATCTGTCTTCCAGTGAATGTGTTTGGCTCCTTTGTCAAAGATAAGGTGGCTGAGTATGCCTGTTCCATTGATTCCCAGGTCCTTTTTTTTTTTTTTTTTTTTTTGCCAGTACCATGCTGTTTTTATCACAGTAGCTTTGTAGTATAATTTCAAGTCAGGGGCTGTGATGCCCCATCTTGCCTTTGTTGTCCAGAATAGCCTTTGCTATTCTAGGTCTCTTCTGGTTCCAAATGAATTTTAGGATTTTTTTTCTAATTCTGTGAGATACACTGTTGGAACTTTCATTGGAATTGCATTAAATCTGTATAAAAATTTTGGAAGTATGGCCATTTTCACTATATTGGTTCTTCCTACCCAAGAACAAAGAATATCTTTCCATTTTCTAACATCCTCTCTGATCCCTTTTTCAGAGTACTATAGTTTTCCATGTAAAGGTCTTGTACTTCCTTCATTAGACTAATTACTACATATTTCACTTCTTTGGATGAATTTGTGAAAAGTATCACTAATTACTCTCTTAGTGAATTTGTTATTTGTGTACAGAAATGCCATTGATCTCATCTTATTAAAAAGCTTTTGTACAGCAAGAGAAGCCACCAAGAGTGAAGAGAAACCCACAGTGTGGGGGGAAAAATGCCAGCTATTCTTCAGACAAAGGACAACTATCTAGAATATATGAAGAACTAAAAAAAAAAATCAGGCCCTCCAAATTTAAAGACCCAATCCAAAAATGGACATGTGATGTGAACAGTCACTTCTCAGATGACAAAGTAGAAACCACAAATAAATACATGA